TGCAATGCGCATCCTGAAAGAGCCAGCTGCCAGTCAAGCATATTAACTGCTGTCTGTCTGTCTGTCTGTCTGTCTGTCTGTTCCTCTCTCTCTCTCTTTCTGTGTGTCCTGTCCCTATCTCTCTCTCACAGTGACTCTTATGCTGCTTTTGTTGTGATAGAAAGTGGCACATTTGTAAATCGCTGGGCAAACATTTATGCAACTTTATGGGCGGTTGCTGCTGCTGCTGCTGCTGCTGCGGTTGCACTTGTCTCTCCTTTTGCACACTGCTGACATTGCGGCCGATTATCGGGACAGATATGACAGCTGCATGCAGAGATCACAGTGCTATATATATGATGCTGCTGATGCTGCTGATGCTGCTGCTATCTGCTATCTGCCATGTGTATTTTATGCACAAAAGTCCACACAGTGCTGGCTTAAAGCTGTCTAGTTGCCTGATTTAAGGGCTCTGTACTGCATCTTTCAAGTGCTAAATGTGGTTTTGGTATCGTTTTTAAGAACTATTCTTATTTATTTGTTTGCTTTATTTAGTATTCTTTGTTTTTTTATAGCCCTTGAAGTTCTTATTTCACTTTGCCTTTATAAGTACGCAATATAACATAACCTTGTATACTTGATTTTTTTTCAAAGGGTTATTTTTCAGTTTTTTACTTTTTTCTTAGTGAGAAAAATTTATTTTTAATTATTTTCAAACAATTTTAAATACTTTATTTATTAATTGACTTTAATATCTGATTTATTCCTTATGGCTAAGACTTATTTCTTAGCCTTTGAAAGTCTTCTTTTAGTTTGCCCTCATAAGTAGGCAATGAAAAAATACCATCGCTTGTGAGGTAGTTTTTCTCACTTTTTAAATATTAAAAATATTTTCAAATATTCCTTAATAAATTAAAATACCCTATTTAGTAATTGGTTTTAATATCTGCCTTAATTCTTTACCCTTTAGACTTATTTTATAGCCTGTGCAGTTTTTCTCTCACTCTGCCCCGAAAAGTAGGCAATGGAAAATTACGCTCGTATACGTGATTTCTTTGTGCTTGCGAAATTCTGTAGTTTTCCTCTATTTATTAGGAGAAAATTAACAAAATATTTTCAAATGTTTCCATATGCTTTTTATTTATAAATTTATTAATTGGCTTTCTTATCTACCTAATTTCCTTTCCTTTAAACCTTATATTCTGTCCCTTGAGGACCTTATGGCACTCTGCCCTCATAAGTAGGCAATGAAAAAGTAGTAATTTGTTCTCAAAGTGAAACTGCTGTATTTTGCTTTATCTTTTGTCTTTCTTAAACTATTAAATATATCTTTATAAATTCGAAGTAAGTATAAATTAATTGACTTCATTGTATGCCTAATTCTCTACCCCTTAACCCTATTTTCCCTTCCTTAAAACCTATATTTCTATTTGTTAAAAATTACCCCCAGCAAGTGTATGCTTTATTTTCACAGCTCTTTGTGTTAATTTACGCCTCCGCCTATCCTTCCATCATTATCATCAATTGGGGGCGATTGTTTGTCTTGGCCTCAAAAAGGGGGCGTGGCCGTTTGCCATATGCAAATCAAATTAAAGAGAACAACTCGTGAGAGGCTGACAAGGCAAACAACACACACACAAGCGAAGGCAGCAGCATGAGTCTGTTAATTAACTGACAATGGGCTCCACACTCACTTTCATATATATACATCTGTGTATATATCTGTATATATGAGCATTAAATCTTACATATAGCATACACTTGGATATATGTTTTTAAATAAGGGGAAAAAAAAACACAGCTGGCACACCCGCAAGTGTTTGCTAATTTTATGGTCTCTCTCTGGCTTAATTAATAGAAAATTATTGTGCAAAGAGGGGAAAAGAGCCAAAAAATATTAGCAAAAAAAATAGATATATACAAACTCATTTCTGGTTCACCTGTTAGCAATGTGTCGGTGTCTGTGCCTTGGTTTCCCCCACATGAGAAACTATTCAACCATAAAACGACCCCCAAATAAGCGTGAAAAGACAAAGGCGAAGCGTAAATTCATTTACCACACACACACACACACACACAAAAGCTTTTTACACAAATGAGTTTATGGCGGTTAGAATGGGGGTTAAGTTTTCCACAGACTGTAGCTGAACGAGGGGCGCCACAAAAATTAATACATTATTTTTAAAAGATAAATTTCCAGCATGTGCTGCTGGCTGCTGCCAACAATTAAATCAGTGAAATCCACACGCAGCAGCCGAAAAATGCCACCCCTGCTGCTCCTGCTGCTCCTGCCACAAAATGTTCACAACTTTTCAACTTAAATTCATTTTGTGCCAAAACAAAAAAGACTCGGAATGGGCGGCATTAAGGCTGCGGGGCGCCTCTCACACACAGATATATATCCTATATATATATATCTATATATATGTAGATTTGTATATATTTCACTCGTGGCTCTGTTGTAAATTTGTTTTCGTTCACTTGCAATGCTGTGTGACACCGCCGCAGCCCCATCATCAACAACCTTGCCACCGCCCCCCACCCACAAGGCAAGGCCACCACCCCCTCTCCCCCTTCTCACCCCTCCCCCTCACTCCTCATCCTGGAAAAACAAGCCGCAGCTTTTAGCCAACTGTAAATCAGTGCCTCCGACTCTTGAGCAGCTGCTGCCGCTTCTCCTTCGTAGATAATAAATTAAACGCAGGGAGAAAGTGAGAAAGGCGGTGCGGGAAAATCAAGGAGAAAGTGCGGGAAAACGCACACACACTAAGAGACGGAGAGAAAGGAAGATGAGTGGCTTGAATTTGAAATGGTTTGGCACAAACAAACAAGTCCGGGGGATGGATGATAAAGCGCCAAAAAGCTGTCAGCTGGAGCCAGAAATATATATATATAAACCATATTATAACCAAGAAAATTGGAAATAAATTCAATGATTCTTTGCTTAATTTGTTAATTATTAAAAGTATTTAATAATAAAATAAAGAGATCGGGAAATCTTAAACCTTAAATGTACTTTAAAAGCAGGAAATGTAGTACAAAGAACAAAGAGACTATTAAAATTCAAGTTGTATCTGAAGATTCTTAAGATTCTTGTTCCCAAAATTCAAATAAAATCAAGTTCCTTTAAGGTCAACCCTTCAATTAATAAATAAACAATTTTTACAAGTTTTCCGGCAAAAAGAAAACTTGTTTACCTGAACGCAAATCACTCACAAAACCGACAAGAAGCACTTCTCATCTTTTATTTTCTTTTCTTGTTACTAGAAGAGAATTTCTGCCACATAAATTTGAATGCCTTCGCGTAAGATTTATCAAAAGAAAGGGAGAGAGAGCGAAAAAAAAACCTAAAACGCCAGGAAAACCCGTGTCGGAAAATGTGGGGAAAAAAGGGTAACCTCTGGCAGCCCAGATGTCGACGCACAGACGCTAAAAGTGTCCAAAAAGTTGTGCCAATGTTTCACTAGATAAAATGCCAGGGCACCAGAGGCCACCGCAGGAAAAAGGAGCAGGAGCAGGAGCAGGACAGGATAGCTGTCAAAGGAAGGGAGAGGAGAAGGCAGGAAGGACAACAAGCAGGACCTGGAAAAGGTGGCAGAGGCGGCGTCGTCATCGTCGCCATTGCCGTCAACGGTTGGCAAAGGGGGGTTTGCCTTTACCTCTGCCTGCCAACCGTCAACCCTTTTGTTTCAAATTAAAATTTACATATTTTAATGTGCAAAGTTTTTGCCAGAGAGAACAGAACAACAAAAACAACAGACATGGACTAAAAATGGGAGTGTTAAAGGGGGGCAAAGAGAGGAAAAGCCAAGGGTTCGCCAGAGCAGAAAAGAGAAATGGGCAAAAAGAATTAAATTGACCTGTAAATATAATTTGGAAGGCAGCAGCAGCATCAACAGCAGCAGCACAAAACGTGTTTAATTATCAAGTTGTAAACAAAAAACAGCAGGAAAAACCAACCAACTGAATGCGAACGGGGGGAGGAAAATGGGGAAATGACAGTGGGGAGAAGCAAGGAAGGAAGCAGCATCATCATCATCATCCTGGGTTTTGTGGCGAATGCAACTTTTTTTCAAAAAATGAGAGAAAAACATTAAAAAGCCATTTTCATATCTATTATCAATACAGGTGAGATTTGCTATGAAAAAAATCTATATAAAAGACTTTTTATATAAACGGAAAATGGTCAACAATAATATTAAAACATTGTATTTAAATGCTATTGTTTTTACTTTACATTTTACAACTAAAAGTCATTTAATTGGCTTAGCTAATCTTAGAAATTCCATAGATAAATAATTATTATTATAAAAATTATTCAAACTTTTAAACCATTCTTGATCCTTTAAATAATTTTCAATTAGGCTTTAATTATAATTTATATTAATTTGTTTTCTGTAGTAAACATAATTAATTTAAAGCTTAGTAACATTATTATTATTATTTTTACAAAAGGTGTTGGGTCCACTCTAAACCCTACCAGTGTGACCATGCTGTGTGCACATAATGAGCTAAGTAGACTGTACTCTTAATATGATTAATAGATGTTTACCCACTGTCACTCCCCCCTTGAAGTGACATCATCATCATCGATCTCGTGAATGACAAACCACGAACTTGCACCTCGAATACGAAGCTTTGGTTGCGGTTTCTAATTGCTTGTCAATTGTGCTGGAACCCGACCATCATCAGTTGGCACATTTATCAATTAGCATTTTGAGGCAGCCCAGGATAATGCAGTGCATATATATATAGTACTTGTATATATATATAAGAACACTATATATATATTTCGCATATGTTTGCCCAGGGCAATGCTCCATCTAATGCTCAAGTTTCTTACTCTTCGAGTGTGTGTAAGTTAACACCATTTAACGCTAATGTAAAGCAAAAATTTTGATGTATTTGCCTTGTTATCGCTTTGTTTGTAGTTTGCACTTATGTACACTGAGCGAACATTTACCGAGGTACGCGTTTGTGTTTTGTGTATTTTTCATTAACCGTATGGCCAGTTCGCTTACCTGCAAAATATGCCACCATGGCGGTTAGGACGACGGATACGAATATTAAGGCGATGCTCAAGCATTTCCAGGAACATCGGTGCTGACAGCGTTTATCTATGTGAAACCTGCAAGAACAAAAAAATAAAAATAAATTAAATATAGAATAAATATATATATAGAGAGATGAGTGTGTGTGTGTGTGTGTGTGTGTGTGTGTGTGTGTGGTGAGGGGGAGAGGCATTAAGCAAACTGAGCAATGCATTTGTAATTAACAAAAGGAGGGGCCGGGTGCAGACCGCAAGACAGGGATAGATAAAGCCACTCGCCTCTATCACTATCTCCATGTCCTGGTGCCTGTCCCTGTGTCCTCCGCCATGTCCTGTGGCTTTAGACGCTTGACATATCACAAGGACCACAGTAACCAGCCAACCAAACAAACACACACACATGGAGCAGGGAAAATCAGAGATAGAACACAGGGGGAAAAAAGTATAAACCTAAATCGGGTCTAGAAACAAGTTTGGATAAAGAAAATCTACTTGAATTGATATAAAATTCAATTGAAGTAGTTTTAAATAAGATTTAATCTTAAAAAAAACTTGTTTGTAAAGCATATTTTTACTAGAATCATTACTATATTTTTTTGTTTAGTGTTTAAAGGCTCTAAAAATAAAAAATATAAAAAGAGAAAACCGTCGAGCAGTGCAGAGTTAGTACGCCAATGAGTTTGTCAACTGCTGGCAACAGCTGGCAACTTTTTTAATAAAGCTCCCCAACCGAAAAGGCAACGCATGCAAAATGATGCACAAGTCGGAGGACAAAGACCAGTGCTCCCTCCCCCTGCGTCCCCAATTTTCCACCCCCTCCCGAAAAAAGGGTGTTAATCACACATACAGCCAACAAGTCTAAGCCGCCGCAGGCAGAGCTGTCAAGTCTTTCGGCGTGGTCGCCTCTAATTGCGTAAAAGTTGAACGAAACGCTGACGGAGGGAGTTACAAACACTCAGGAAGGCAAAGGGAAACTCAGAACGTCAGGGAAAATGCGGAAAATGTGGTCCCGAGGAAAAGGGGGGCGCACAGGACCAAGGCATGGTCGCAGCTTAAAGAGAATTAACAATTCTTGAGTTGCCAACTTTCGAAACTTGGTCAGAATTGGGTTAGACTCGAAAGTGTCCGAGTCAAGCCTTCAAAGGTGATTCAACTCTGTGGAAGGGGAAAAGCGAGTGCAGAAGGGAAAAGGGTGAAGGAGGGAGTCAGGAGCAGCGAGTGGGAAAATCCCCTCGAGGAAAATTCTTTAAGGAGTTAGGCACTAACTAGGGAGCTCTGCTTAACAGGGGAAGAAAGTTCAGGCAGCAGTTTGACTTACTAACTAAGGGAAGCCTTTAAGGCTGACTTGTGGAGTAATGCTACAAAAAAAATATATATCATATATACAAGGCAAGAGGGGACTTAAGTTGCTTTCAAAATATAAAAAACATACTAATTATAATTTAGTTATAACAACTACTCAAGAAATTCTTTTGAATAAAGAAAGCGAAAATTTATAATATTGACTATTTAAAAATTTGTGCAGTTTGCAACAGAATTGAAATATCGAATCGGAAATCGATATTTATCGATATTTTTCTATGACAATTCTATGACACATTAAAGCTTTAAAAACTTCATAACTCAGCCAAAAAAGCCTTAATTTTAATTCGGAAAACGTTCACATGTTAGTTTTTCGTAGGTTAATAATTCTGCATACTCCCTTTAAAATGTAAAAAAATTAAATTTTCTTATTTCCTTCCTTATTTTTTTTATAGTATTAACCCTTAAAAAACTGGAAAAAATTAATAAATATTTTTTTCTGCCTTCAATGGCTAAATCGATTTGGTTTTTAGTGCTGATCAAGAATATATATGATTTATAGGGTCGGAAATGACTCTATCACAACGTTTTAGGCTTTTGACTAAAATTATATTACCATTTTTTAACCGAAATTTATCTATATTTTTTCTATGTACATTTTTTCAACAAATCAAAGCTTAAAAAACTCATAATTCAGCCAAAAAAGCCTTAATTTTAATTCGGAAAACGTACTTTTGCAAGTTTTTATTAGAGCTATAAATCTGCATACTCCATTTAAAATGTAAAAAAAAATACTTTTTTTCGCCATTTTTTGTTCAATTTTAGTGCCTAAAAAATATCGAAAAAATTAAAAAATATTTCTTTCTGCCTTGAATGGCTAAATCGATTCAGCTTTTAATGCTGATCAAGAATATATATGCTTTATGGGGTCGAAAACGATTCCTTGCCAACATAACAAGCTTCTGACTCTTCCAGGGTATAAATAATAACAAAACCCTTTTTCACAGTAAGTTTTATAAAGAAACTCCTTACAAAAGTCATAAAATTCGGAAAGGAACACATCCTTTTAAAATTCCAGCGACTGTGATTCAGCAAAATCAGTTGACTGGAAGCCGTATCCCCCAAGTGAACCCCCAACTGAACACTCAATTTAACGCTCATTCACTCGGAGAGTGTTCACTGTGACCCCGGGCCAGGTGCAGTGCAAGGTGTGTGTGGGGCTCTTTTTAACAGGTACTAAGAGCACTATATGTATATATATATATATATGGCTTACCTGGATGGCGAATATGGCGAATAATGCGGTGCATGCGCTGAGTGGGAATTACGCAACGGGAATCCGGGCATGACCAGCGGCTGAGAGCCGCTTATCTGGCAGTTGCCACCATTACCGCTCCCGGGCGGTCCCACCTGTGGACCACCGCCCACGCCCACCTGGCCTCCACCTCCGCCGCCGCCGCCGCCTCCAACGCCGCCGGGCATTGTTCCGGCGCCCATTGGCAGTCCAACGCCGCCGCGATCGATGCCACCATGGCCGATTGTGTTGCTGCCAGTTGACATACTCTGCGGCATCTGCTGTGGGTGGCCGCCCAATCTGCAAAAACAATAAAACAAAGAGGTAAAAAATTAAACAAGGGTCAACCAATATTTATAATCTATATATATATACTTTGTGCACTTGAACATTTATCTATAATGTAGTACAGGAATAAATTAAGAGTGTTTGGAGAATTGAAATCTTTAATTTCGTATGCCAAGATTATGTTATTAAAAAAGGTAAAAACTCTTTATAGAGATAAAGAAAAACCTTAAAAAAATGTTTCTCAAATGCAAATAGCTTGCTTGTCATTAATTTTCTATATTTCTTATCATTAAAAATCTCTTTCAAGAATTGAAATCATTTTTTTCTGAACTCCATAATATTTTAACATTTTCAAAAACGTTTCCAAAATTTATATACCTTGCATGTTATTTATTTTCTATATTTCTTTTCATCTTAAAAATCTCTCCAGACTTAAAATCATTTTTTGCTACACCCAAAAGTATTATAAAACCTTAAAAAAATGTTTCCAAAATGCAAATAGCTTGCTTGCAATAGGAAATATTTATTTTCATGTAAAAAATCTCTATTAAGACTTTAAATCATTTCTTCCTAAGCTCTAGATTATTCCAAAACCTTCAAAAAATGTTCCGAAAATTTAAATATTTTCCTTATAATTAATTTTCTATGTTTCGTTTCATCAAAAATCTCTTTCAAGACTTAAAATCATTTTGTTCTAAGACCCAAAAGTATTCTAAAACTGATTTCCTGCACACATTCTAATATTTTCCAGTATAAAATCCTAATCTTACCTTTCAGAAACCCTTCATAGAAACCTCATAGAACCTAAGAAACTCCACCCATAATTTCTCTCAGTGCACTTAGCTCGCTTGTAATGCGGAAATTAAAACATGTGCAAAAGTTTTCGCTCTACATTGGCCTCGGCTCTCTTTCCCTGTACCTGCTCCTCCTTTTTGGGATGCAGTTGCAATATTTAAATCTCATCCTCGCGGACAAAAGGCTGCCGCTGCTGTTATTGTTATTATTATTTTTAACGGTTAAGTGATGCGGAAATTTTAAATTAAAAAACATAAATCAATGCACAAGTGTGTGTGTGTGTGTGTGTGTGTGGGGCCATTGTGTGGCGACAAATAAAAAAAAAAAAAGGAAAAAAGTGAGGAGAAAGAAAGGTTTCATTTTGTTGCTGTTTGTGTTTTATTATCGCTCAACATTAAGCGGAAATGCAGTTGCTGCTGCCATTTCTCGATAACTGCCCCTGTGTACCGGCCATTGTTGCATTTTTTTTTTTTCATCTCTCTGCGTGTGTGTGTGTTCCAGTGTGTGTGTGTGTGTATGTCCTGTGGATGCCATTTTCAGGCGACGCCCGCAAGTGTGCAACAGAAATTACAACCTTTTTTTGCTGGCTCTTTGGCCGGTCAAAAACATTTTTGTTAACCCAAGACCAGAATGCTAAAGGCATTTCACAGTTGGCACAGATCTTTTCAATATTAAATATTAAATATAAAAGTTTAAATTATGATCGAAAGAATGCTTAATAATTGTTATATTAAATGCTAGAGGATTTTATTGGCTTCTTGAACGGAATCGAAGTAAATTCGTGTACCTTTCTTTGTTTGTAAATTACGTTTTGTGTAGGAATTTGCTGTAATAAATTATATTAAAAGCTTTGATTTTATTGAAATATTTTATTAAATTTGTGTAAATTAAACTGTAAGCCAGTTCAAAGGAATTTCTTAACTAAGCTCTTTTATGTTTTATTGAAATATTTTATGAAGAAGATTTAGTAAAGTTAAATCTAAAGGCATTTCTGACTTAGCTCTTTTAAGTTTTATTGAAATATTTTATGAAAAAGAACCACTAAAGTTAAATCTAAAGGCATTTCATGTTTAAGCTCTTTTATGCTCATATTTATTAATAGTTTAGAGACTTAACTCAGGAACAAATAGTTGTTTTAAATATATTTAAGGCTGTGCTTTATAAGCAAAATGCTATGACTATATAAAAACAAACAATAATAAATAACTTTAGCTTATTAAAAGCCACCTAAACGAGCTCTTATTAATAATTAAGTAATACAAAACACAACTTTCATTTATCCACATTTATAATATAAGTTAAAAAGATTGTATATATATTTTACATATAAATATGTTTAGTTAAGCAAAAAAGAAAAACCCCTTTCAATTTTAAAATTCCCATCGCGTACATTGGATTCACCGATTCTGGCCGCGTTTTTAACCCCATTTCAAGGACCTTATCTGCTTTTGGCTTATTTTTATTCCAGGTTCCAGGACCCAACGTCATTGCCATTGTACCGGACTCATCGTCAGTTGCCATCGCGTGCATTTGACATATCACATTTTTGGGCCCTCTATTCGGGGATTCTCCGCTTGGGTGTATTGGGTTGTTTGGTTTTGGTTTTTGGCCTGCTTTGGGGTTTTTTTTTTTTTTTTTGAGGATATTTTGGATTTTCGTTTTTCGGTCTGCGGCTGTCCGCTTTGGCCGCCATTTTGGCTTTGTTATTTATGGCCATGTCAAGCGGTTGGCGGCTGGCTTGGTCAAGCGTGTGCCACGCCCCAAAAAAAAAGCAGCAGCCCCCCATTTTCCGCCTCTGATCCTGGCCTGCATTTGACATGCGGTTGTTGTGTGTGTGTGCGGGCCTTCACTCTTTTTTTTTGCTGTATTTTTTTATATTTTTCCATTCACGACCATTGAAATTTGTAGCTTCCTGCATTTTCTCCTTTTTTTTAAGGTTTTCTTGTTTATTTTTGTTTAAACTAAGGCAGGGCTTATCGAAGTTTCAGCTAAACTCTACAGAAATATGTATCCATATATTTAAATTACTCCCCAAAGACTACTTTTTGAGTTATTAGAAGCATTTTTGATGCTGTTTTAGCCTTAATTTAAAGCTATATCCTTTGGATATATCCTGAAAATTATAGCCTTAAATATTCCTTGCTAATTTTAAAAAATACTCAAACCTTTTTTAGATTTTAAGAGCTTTTCTTTTATGAAAAATTTTGAATTTTTAAAAATTACCTTATAAAAACTAAAAACTCTTGAAATCAAGCTTAAAATTGACCATTTTTAACAAAACTGACTTAGATCTGTGTAATTTATGGCGGAAAAGGGACGGAACCAATGCCGAGGCAGAAACAATGAATGGCACCCCTGGGGGGCAGAGAGTTCGAGGGAAAAGTGGGGGGTTTATGGGGAAAGCCGCTTACAACAACAACACCAACACCAACACCAACAACAACAACACCAGCAGCAGGCACAAGACAAATGTGTCTGTGTATGTGTGTGTGTGTGTGTGTGTGTGATGTCCTGTGTGTGTGTGTGTATCTGTGTGTTTTGGGGCAGCTTAGCAAATGCTAAGCCAGCCAGCGAGCAACGCAAGCTGTGCCTGTGATTTATTAGCAACAATAATAGAATTAAACAATTTAAATTAAGTTGTAGCCAAAAACCATAAACAGTCTGCCAAGCGGCGGGCCCCCTTCCCTTTCGTGCTGCTCCCCCCTAACCCCCTTAAACACTCGCAACAAAAATAAAAACACGCAACGTTTTGTTTGGTCCTTAAGTTTGATACTCAGTACAAAAAAAAAAACACTAAAGGGGATTTTGATATGGAATAATGTTGATTTGTTAATGATTTAATAACAATTCATATTTTTATATGTGTACCTTTAAAAAATAAGTACATTTTAATTAAGAATACAATGGAAAATCCTGTATAACAATAGCACTTGAAACCTATATCATTTGCATAACAATATATTAACATTTAATGTGGAAAATTTAATTCCTAATTATTACTCTATTAAGTAATTATAATTTTTATTCAAAAGCTTCTTAAAATATGAATCAATTTCGCCCCTACACATCATATATATTCTTTATTAGCGTGAACAGCCGAATCGATCTAGCCATCGAAGGCAGCAAAATTTTTTTTTTCTTTTTTCTAATTTTTTTCATTGTGGAAATGCAAAAAAAAAAAAATGAAAAAAAATGAATTTGAATTTGAATGAATTTTCTTACATTTTAAACTGAGTAAGCAGATTTATTAACCTAATAAAAACTAGCCTAGGAGCGCTTTCCAAATTAAAATTAAGCCATTTTTGGCTTAGTTAAGGGGTTTGAAATTTTGATTTTACCGAAAAATTGTCATATGAATATATTGATTAATATAGATTCAAAGAAAGTGAATATTAGCTTTAAATATTCCCATACGATCCTATAATTAACTTGTAAACTGCAAGAGAAAACAACATTAAACATATTTAAAACCGAATTTCAAATATATTTATGGTTATGTTTGGTAGAGGTTTTTAAGAATTAATTTTGTTTGATGACTGTTTAAAGATTTTTCACTCTTGTTTCTAGGTGTTATTTGAAGTGGATTTATAGAAATGATCCTAATCAATACTTACTTATATAAATAAAAAATATGAAATCCCTTTTAATTAAAGTAATCGAAATCAATTGTAAGGAGTAACCTACAATTCGTGACCCAAAATGCGAATGGAGGCGCTCGCTCTTGACCAGCAGGCGACAGAGCAGCGGAAGCAAAGCTGGGGGAAAGTTTTTGGGGAAAAGTGGCTAGGGAAACAGTTGGGGGGAAAAACTGGAAAGGGAATGAAAATGAAAGAGCATGAAGTGGTAGGGGGGAATTTCCTCGCGTTACAAATGCTTCCTGTGCATACATTTGGCAGCAGTTTTGCGTTCGTGTGTCCTCCCCCCACACTGCCACACTTTCCTTCCACCCATTTTCCCATTTTCCGCCGCATTTTCACAGTGCCACACAGCGTGTGTGTGTGTATATATATTGTTACCATTATTATTGCCGTTGACCGACCACACTGACACTCGACGAAAGTTGTGCACACGCAATATGGAGTGGCACAAACAAAAAATTGTATATAAAAATCCCAAATAAATAATAAAAATGGCACTTCAAAAAAAAAGAGGTTGCATACTTTTAAGTGCATCGCATTTTGTAACTCAAAATGGCAGTTTGTTGCCAATTGCTACTGCCATTGCTGCCGCGCGCGTGTGCTTGATTGTTTAATTTAATTTGGATTTAAAAGCAAACGCATAACAAAGATTGCCAGCAATTATTTTTTGCCGGACGACGCTCTTGTTATTCAATCAAATAATATTCATTTCATTTGCAATCAACAACAGCAGCAGCAGCAGCAGCAGCTGCAAAAAAGTTTTGCTTTTATTAAATTCTGTTTCTGTTTCTGTTTATTCCGCTTTGTGATAATAAATACTGTTTTTGCACTTTTCCGTCCGCTGGGAAACAAGTGGAGCAGAGAGAGAGAGAGAGAAGCTGGCGATAGTTTCCCTGAAAAAGGGACATAAATCCGGTGGGGTAAGATCCAAAAATAAAGGATATATATACATATATATACGTGTATTTTTTTCCGCTGGTCCAAATAAAGTTTTTGTGGGGGGAGGAGACAGCGTTTTGGGATTCAATTTGAAGGACTGACTTTCTGATTGTCTCATCAACTGACAGCTGGTTTTTATGGCTCTTCTAGTCTTATAAAAGTTATGTCATTCTTTTTAATTTTCGATCATAAAGAATTAATATTTTCATCAAAAATGTTATACAAATTTAATTTAGGTGTTTCCCTTTATTAGATTAATAATATTTTGTGTAGATTTTATATGAATTATCTTATTAATTGATTTTATAACAAGAAAGTAAGGTAACTTTTACAAGAAAACCCAAAATATTAAATAGATATTTTTATATGCTTGTTTTGTAGGGTAAATCAAAGTTTTTCAAATATCATTATTAAGCCAAAAATACATCAATTTCAATTCGGAAAACTGTTCTGCGCTAGTTTTTATAACCCCAACAATTCTGCGTACTTTGATTTTTAGTTTTACAAAATTTGAATTTTCTCAATTTTTGACCATTGAACAATACAAAAATTAATGACCAAAAATTTCGAAAATAAATTCGAAAAAAAAATTTGTCCCAAACATGGCTAGATCGATTCGGTTTTTAATGCTGATCAAGAATATATATAATTTGTAGGGTCGGAAATGACTCATTCATGAGTAAGAAGCTTATAATTAAAATTATATTACCATTTTTTAGCAATATTTATCTATATTTTTATATGAGAATTTTTATGATAAATCAAAGTTAAAAAATTCATAACTAATCCAAAAATGCATATATTTCAAATCGGAAAGCTGTTCTGTGCTAGTTTTTATAGGGTTAACAAAACTGCATATTTATATTTTAAGTTTTACTAAATTTAAAAATTGTCATTTTTTGCCTACTTGACAATATAAAATTTAATGACAAATTTTTGAACGAAAAATTTTCAAAATTTTTTTTCTGCCAAAGATGTATAGATCGAATCGGCTGTTCATGCTGATCAAGAATATATATAATTTGTAGGATCGGAAATGACTCATTCATGAGTTACAAGCTTCTAAAAGTCCTTACTATGCGTTTATTTTAATACCCTTTAATATATTTTACTTATACAGAGAGTATTTCAACAGACATACATACATCTTTTAACATTAAATAACTATGAGCATTAATTAACTATGAGCTGTAAGTAACTCTAAACATTAAGTATTGGTTATACATACTTAAGTAAGTAACTATGATCAGTAAGTATCTATGATCAGTATGTATGTATGATCAGTATGTATGTATGATCAGTAAGTATCTATAATCAGTATGTATGTATGTATGTATGTATGATCAGTTACTAACTTTGAACACTTGTAAACAATGACTTGCAACTTTTGTAACAACACATTTCTGAGACGTGGCTGGCAGCAGTCACTTCGTTCCGGGGATGTTAGAACAAGTTGGGAATCATAAGTACAGATGTGCGAGATTTGTTTTAGAACAAATATAAGCTATTTCAATGAAACTATAGAGTTATTCTTCTATATAATTTTACAAGTGTATTAATTGGAGCATGCCGAATCGGTGGAATATATATATACATATATATATATCTGCCATAGGAACAATCGGAAAATTTTAAGAAAAAAAATGTATAACTTTTCCAGTTTTCAACAGATTTTCATCAATTTTAATATATAGCTATTATATATTAATCTAGAATTTGGTATATAATTTTATGAAAATCTGACCACTATATCATATAGCTGACATACAAACGAACGTTAAAATTCAAAGAAAATAAAGTGCAAGCATTAATTTATTTTTCTTGAACATAAATCTATATAAATTATTTTGTAATAATTCCTAGTGATCGAATTTCAATCTGCAAGTTAGCTTCTTTTCTAGTTTATCATACTTTCTTGTTAATATTAAAGCACAATCTCATCTA